CAAATTGGCACGTTCTGTTTACGTGGCAACCCTTACTAGTTGGCTGTGTCGGGTGGTGGCGGGTTTTAACGACACATTTATATATTTACGCGATCGAACCCAAAAACCTCTATTATGGATGCTATTGGTCGCGAAAGCCTACGTGTTGAAATGTCAAATGAAGTGAATTATGGAGAAATATGTACAGTACATTATCAAGTTCAGATTTCTAGGAGCACCCCACCTACTGTCTCTATTTAATGTGTTTGCTTCCGGTCCGCTATCAGAAGCTGACCTCTCTGCTGTTTTCCAGTCGTTTCCCTCCGAAGGACATCTTCCACCGTTGAGACCTTGTTTCTCGTGAACTTTGGTGTCTTATTCTCTGCAAAGTTCGTACAGCGTTTCCCGCTGTCCCTTCCCATTGGACGTTACGATGCCGTCAGCAAAATCTGCGATGTCCTGACATCGTTCTTAATATCGACGCCGTTGTTTCTCCAGTCAAAGTATTTGGGAAAATATTCAACAAATAATAACTTTGCGCGACTCCCCTTTAACTGTGCATTTGGTAAAAACGTAATCTTAGTATTTTTGGCTGTTCCATTTTTGTAAATGTTTTTTTTTAATTGGTAAATGTTATGTTCAGACCTCGGTTCGTGAAAACTTAGATGAGTGGCGTCATCTTTGTACCCAGTCAATTATTTTTCTACAATAGTCTCAATTGTCATTCAAAAACATTGTTATTGTCTTTTACAGAATGTGATGAATGCGTTGTATGTGGTCAATGGTAGAGAAACATTTTCTAAACCCTGCTTGCTCCCATGGATGGTTGGCCTCTACTTTGTAACTATATTTACTTGGATTCTGCACACGATGATACCAATGATGCGTTACCACTGAACGGAGCTGCCGGAGGGTAATGGTTCAACCCACGCACGAGACTCGCAATTCAGAAATCGCCGCCTCCATTCGATTTGCCAGCGCGGCAGTTAAAACGATGGGGGGCGTTTATTAAACTCCCACCGCCGTTTCTGTCACAGCAGCGTGTCCCATCGGTAGGTCGCGTGTGGCGGGGTAAAACGTGGGGACGCCCCAGAGGCGCATGGGGGGGGGGGGGGTTATGCCACAACGTTACGTGACGCATCGGGGCCCAGTCGGCCACAAGGGGGCCTCGAATCAACAGATAAACAAATAAAAAAAATGTTAAGAATATTTTTATCCAAAAATAATGTTCCAACAATTAACCATAAATGCCAAAAAACATTGTTACAAATTAAATAAAACATATTTCAGAAAATACACAAAGCGTCAAACTGCCGGTGTTTGTTGCTGAGCACCACCAGGCTCGCTGGCTCACCGACTTGGGCATGAAAGCAAGACGCACGAGAACTCGTGACTATTGTACCTTTAAATGTTATCAATATTATCGCTGTGAGACTGTCTTCCTTTAAACCCAAAACACGGTGAAACTAAAATGTTATATATAGATATTGCCTAACATATTATTGTGTACGGGGTTAAAAACATCCATAGTCGCTATTTCAGTAAAAGTGAGTCGGGAGAGAGGAGGGGGGCCACAGTCGGATCATGCGTAGCCCCCCTCCCCTTGAAACAGGGAGTTGCGCCCCTGGTCCGTACGCCCAAATCTTTTAATGTCAGCGTGGACGAGTAGACCACATACTCTCCAAGAGCCCTCTAAAGTTACGAGGAGGCCCTTCCCACCAGCAGCAGGCAGTTGCAGAGCTGCGCCTTTGCAGCGCCACGATTCCGAGATGTTGACTACCGCGCCTGGTAGACAGCAGACCGTGGGTTCGATCCCGGTCATTGACTGCTGTAACATTCGGAGTTTGCGCCTCTCTCTCTCCCCGTGGTCGCGTGGATTCTTCTCCGGGTCCTCCGGTTTTTCCCCTCCACATGTAAAATCAACATCACCACGCGTTTAGAATCTTTGGCTGCTGATATGAATGTACATATAATGACGAGCCACTTCGTTGGGCTATCGCTTGTGATAGGCAGGTCGCTTCTGAAAAAGAACTACTGAATAGAGCAGCTCAGTGGGCCGTACCTGGTACAAAACAAAGTGTAATCGTGAAGTGTGTGTGAGTGTTGCTGAATGCGATGTGCGTGCGCAACTACCGCTTACGAAACCTGAGCGTGGTGGTGAATGCCGGGGGGGGGGGGGGGGGGCGAGGAAAAGCCCTCGAAACAAATCCCTCTTGGCCTGGTGACCCCACCACACAACCCCAACGCCACCACCACCACCACACAACCCCATCGCCACCACCACACAACCCCATCGCCACCACCACACAACCCCATCGCCACCACCACCACCACACAACGCCACCACCACCACCACACAACCCCATCGCCACCACCACCACACAACCCCAACGCCACCACCACCACCACACAACCCCAGCGCCACCACCACCACACAACCCCATCGCCACCACCACCACCACCACCACACAACCCCATCGCCACCACCACCACACAACCCCATCGCCACCACCACCACCACCACCACACAACCCCATCGCCACCACCACCACCACCACACAACCCCATCGCCACCACCACCACACAACCCCATCGCCACCACCACCACACAACCCCATCGCCACCACCACCACCACCACCACACAACCCCATCGCCACCACCACCACCACCACACAACCCCATCGCCACCACCACCACCACCACACAACCCCATCGCCACCACCAACACCACCACACAACCCCATCGCCACCACCACCACCACACAACCCCATCGCCACCACCACCACCACACAACCCCATCGCCACCACCACACAACCCCATCGCCACCACCACCACCACACCACCCCATCGCCACCACCACCACACCACACAACCCCATCGCCACCACCACCACCACACAACCCCATCGCCACCACCACCACCACACAACCCCATCGCCACCACCACCACCACCACACAACCCCATCGCCACCACCACCACCACACAACCCCATCGCCACCACCACCACCACACAACCCCATCGCCACCACCACCACCACACAACCCCATCGCCACCACCACCACCACACAACCCCATCGCCACCACCACCACCACCACACAACCCCATCGCCACCACCACCACACAACCCCATCGCCACCACCACCACCACACAACCCCATCGCCACCACCACCACCACACAACCCCATCGCCACCACCACCACCACACAACCCCATCGCCACCACCACCACCACACAACCCCATCGCCACCACCACCACACACACCCCATCGCCCCACCACCACCACACCAACCCCATCGCCACCACCACCACCACCACAACCCCATCGCCACCACCACCACCACACAACCCCATCGCCACCACCACCACCACACAACCCCATCGCCACCACCACCACCACACAACCCCATCGCCACCACCACCACCACACAACCCCATCGCCACCACCACCACGCAACCCCATCGCCACCACCACCACGCAACCCCATCGCCACCACCACCACGCAACCCCATCGCCACCACCACCACCACACAACCCCATCGCCACCACCACCACCACACAACCCCATCGCCACCACCACCACGCAACCCCATCGCCACCACCACCACGCAACCCCATCGCCACCACCACCACGCCTGACAGCGGCAGCAGCGGTAGTCCCCCCGCCCAGCCGCTGTGGCCAGAGGCGGTGGTGGGGGGAGGGTGGAGGAGGAGACTCCGCAGGCTCGAGACAAACACACAACCCGCGACACGGGGGGGGCTCAGTGGCTCACAACTCAACGCAGACGAGATCGCACGGCCCGGCGCAGCAAGCACTCACACGGGCTCTCTCACTCGCACAGTCTCTCCCTCTCTCACGGCCTCTCACTCACGGCCTCTGTCTCTCTCACACGGCCTCTGTCACACTCTCTCACACGGCCTCTCACTCACGGCCTCTGTCTCTCTCACGGTCTCTCACTCACTGTCTCTCTCTCACGGTCTCTCACTCACGGCCTCTGTCTCTCTCACGGTCTCTCACTCACTGTCTCTCTCACACGGCCTCTCACTCACGGCCTCTGTCTCTCTCACGGCCTCTGTCACACTCTCTCACACGGTCTCTCACTCACGGCCTCTGTCTCTCTCACGGTCTCTCACTCACTGTCTCTCTCTCACGGTCTCTCACTCACGGCCTCTGTCTCTCTCACGGCCTCTGTCACACTCTCTCACACGGCCTCTCACTCACGGCCTCTGTCTCTCTCACGGTCTCTCACTCACTGTCTCTCTCTCACGGTCTCTCACTCACGGCCTCTGTCTCTCTCACGGTCTCTCACTCACTGTCTCTCTCACACGGCCTCTCACTCACGGCCTCTGTCTCTCTCACGGCCTCTGTCACACTCTCTCACACGGTCTCTCACTCACGGCCTCTGTCTCTCTCACGGTCTCTCACTCACTGTCTCTCTCTCACGGTCTCTCACTCACGGCCTCTGTCTCTCTCACGGCCTCTGTCACACTCTCTCACACGGCCTCTCACTCACGGCCTCTGTCTCTCTCACGGTCTCTCACTCACTGTCTCTCTCACACGGTCTCTCACTCACGGCCTCTGTCTCTCTCACGGCCTCTGTCACACTCTCTCACACGGCCTCTCACTCACGGCCTCTGTCTCTCTCACGGTCTCTCACTCACTGTCTCTCTCTCACGGTCTCTCACTCACGGCCTCTGTCTCTCTCACGGTCTCTCACTCACTGTCTCTCTCACACGGCCTCTCACTCACGGCCTCTGTCTCTCTCACGGTCTCTCACTCACTGTCTCTCTCTCACGGTCTCTCACTCACGGCCTCTGTCTCTCTCACGGTCTCTCACTCACTGTCTCTCTCTCACGGCCTCTGTCACTCACTGTCTCTCTCTCTCTCACGGCCTCTCACTCACTGTCTCTCTCACACGGCCTCTGTCACTCACTGTCTCTCTCACACGGCCTCTGTCACTCACTGTCTCTCTCTCTCTCACGGCCTCTCACTCACTGTCTCTCTCTCACGGCCTCTCACTCACTGTCTCTCTCACACGGCCTCTGTCACTCACTGTCTCTCTCTCTCTCACGGCCTCTCGCTCCCACGGCCAATGCTGCAGCGTGAAGAGGATTGAGGCTACGAGCAGCCGCTGCTTGCTACTGCTGCTGCGGAGAGCAAAAGAGACCGGCGCTGCCGCGCAGACGGCAGAAGGAGAGGAGGCGAGACAGGAGGGGAGCTCGAAACATCGGACATGAGCGCGGAGAGATACGCGGCGAGGAAGAGAAAGAAGCCGTCCGTGTTTGGGTGAGCGCCGGGTTTCAGTGGGGGGCGTAAAACAGTCGGCCCAGTGCGGTGAAGTATGGTCAATAACCTCCCCGTGCCGTGAGCACGAGCCCAGCGTGGGGGTGTGTGGGGGTGTGGGGGTGCTGCCGCTGCCGCTGACCACCGCAGCGACGTGGTAGCGGCTCCAGGTCACCCACCACCTCGCTGGGTACGCTCTCTAAGCCGCGCGGCGCTCGACTGCGATCACCGTTAACTCCGTCGCTGTTGACTGCTGTCCACTGCTCGTGCAGTGTCAGTACTGACATCACTCGTTAGAGTCTTCGCCATCATCCAGTCAGGAACCCACCGAATGGACTGCACTGTTGTGATGGAAGCCAAGTAAGTACTCCCTAGTACTGTGTTGGGAATTTGGATGGGCAAGTCTTGGATCAACATACCTGTCAACCCCTTATCAGTGCCTACCTCATTACAGACCAATTCACACCTTATTGGTCACCCCGTGCCCTTACAAATCTGAACGTTCATCCTACAAAGTCCCATCACAAGGGAGAAACACAAATAAAATGTTGTTACCCGTATTGAAACGGCTGTACGCTGTATGGACCTGCAAACTCAATTTCGCTGTACAAGAATACGGGTAAAGCATATGGATTGACAGGTATGGGATCATGAGTTTATTATCATTGCGCTTGTTAACCCAGGAAAGCCTCACTGAGTCCCAAGACTCTTGTTCTGGAGGGTCCTGCCAATTGTTGACAGTGCGGAGCAATGTTGCTTTGTGTACTCCCAACTGGGAAATTCGCAAGCAATTGTAGTTTTACCATTGGAATATTTGGCTAATAATAGTGACAGTGTGTTTTATTTTCTAGCTATGGGAGGAAACTGTAAGGGAACCCATTTCAGAGCGGTGGGGGGAGGACATACAAACTCCACAAAGGCAACCCGAGTCAGAAATCGAACCCGGGGTCTTGTTGCTGTGAGGCACAAGTGTTGCCACTGTCCCACCGTGTCGCTCTGAGTTGTGCGTGACAGATCAGATGGGTTGTGGTATCCAGCAACACGTATAAAGTGCATACATGTGTGGCTTATCTTCAATAATTGTATCAACAACTGTCTATCGCCATCCCTCGCGCTCTTGCGAGTTCACACTCAGACTCACTCTCGCATTACTCACAATAGTGATGGATGGAGAGCAGACTCGGCTCGCTGGGTTCAGAGTGTGGTGTGCTAACCACTGCGCCACCACTCCCTGCAACCATGTTAGTGGATATGACATCTAATATTTGGCTGGCAAGTGTAAGTCATCGAGATTTTCTATTGTGTAGAAAGCAAATAAGTTACCCATAGATATTTTTGGGATATTTAAAACCAGAATCTCCCATTTAGGGGCCATCCATTTAGTACGTATGCATGGAGGGGGGAGGGGGGGTTAACCCAAATGCGTACGCTTGCGTATGGGGGGGTCTACTGACAATGTACGCATAGGAAACGGGGGTGGGGGGGGGGGGGTGAAGCCTCGATAATAATTTGTCTACATTGGCCTTCAAATGAGTTAGATAGTCCGGCGGTGGACTACATGTTTCCTTAAACACGTTAATATTATTAATCCATGATCGTTTCTGCGTGGATTAAATATCGGCCGTTCTATAGGATTCGGGGGGGGGGGGTGCGTCAAGCGTACATTCGCAGGTAGGGGGGGTAAAAAGTACGCGTGCGTACAGGAAGGGGGGAGGGTCAGGTTTTGACAGATTTTTGCGTCCGTACTAAATGGATGGCCCCTTAAAATACGGCAACACATGTTATCCAAAATACAGGTTTTTGTTAGTTATATCGCGATATAACCCAAAAACTGTATTATAGCTGATATTGGTCTCGTAATCCTGCGTGTTAAACTGACACATATCAGTTGTTACCTCTCAAGAATATTTGTTGTCCTGTTTCCCAACTGATTCTAATTGTGCTTTCGGAATAATGTCACGAGGCAAATCATATATCCGTACATATTGCAGAGTAAGTACATCACCTGCTTTCTGAGAACGGCTGCATCTAAGAATGTTCAGAGGATTTCAAGTGGCCCTCATATTCCACACATAAGTAGTGGTCTCACTCTAGCACACTCTGCTTTGAGATTGTTAGTCCCATGACAGCCAAACCGATCATTTTAAATCTCAGAGCTATGCAGCCGTGGCATGTCGGCTGTTCTGACTCACTTGAGTGTGAGTGTGTGAAGACACGTTAATATATATATAGCTAGGATTTAGCCGAATGAATTTACACCTGGTTTAATGATATATATGTGTGCAGTCATTGGTGACTGTTAGGGAGCATCGACTCACTGGAACCCAGATTCAAACCTAGGAGGTTAGCGTTGCCGGCTCAGCTCTGATTCGTGAGTAGCTGCCACCTTAGGACAGCCTTCTTCACCTGAGTGCAATTACTTTGTAGTCGAGCGTGAGATGCAATTCAGTCATCGCGGTATTTCACAATCACAGAGATCAAGAACAAATAATTATGCAGTCCACGAGGAGCACTTACACACTCACCGTGTATTTTTAAGTCAAGTACTTTGTGCTCTTGTTATATAAAATACTGCGATTTGATTCAGTTGGTATGCGAGAAAAAATTTTTTTGCGGAATTACCGCACACAATTACTTCAGTTAGGGGTTTGTTTTTCCCATTTTACTTTGACTGTGGGGATGCTTGAGGCATGTCACAATGTCGCATTGTACCAGCTGGAACATAACAATGATTTGCCTTTCTTCGTTATCTGTGGACTTTGGGTCCTTTCTTGTGCAAATATAGTTTTGCCAGTGAAATTACTGCATGCGTGTCCCTTTGGTGGCACGCACAGACGAGCGTTAAACTGCAGAGCACGGAGTGCAACATTTCATGGCTGAGAAGCATCGCCAACCTCTTGCATTTAAACCTCCTTAAGTTTGAGCGCTTGCCGAATTGTGCCGTTTTACACCCCGTGTAAACGCCGCGTTTGAAATACGCGCTCACTCACCCTTTTGACATCTAAAACGTGCGTTGATTTGTGAAGGGTTGTGAATGCTCGGGTACTTCTGAAAGTTTATTTACAAGAACAGCGATGGATCTCGCAGCTCTTAATCAGGTGTTGCATGCACCTCTACCGTCAGCAAAGTTTATGCTGTGATTATAATAATAATACTCTTATACTCTTTTTAAGTGCACAACTTTATCTATCTGTGATGAACGCTGCACTTTCCGTCGTTTTTATGCGGGGGGCGCTGCAAATCTACTCGCCCCCTGCACGAACGACGGATGCGCAGGGACAGACGTTCGATTACGTTGGAATCGATCTGCTGATGGCGGTCTTCTCACACGGATAGCTTTATGTCGCCTTATCTCGACCCCGCAATCCCAAACAGGTGAAAGTCCGCATCGAACCGAACCCCCGGCAAGGCCATCTACTTAACGACGAGAGAAAATTCACACGAAATGTCCTTTTCAATGAAGTCTTCCAGATGTAAAATGATATCAGCTTTTAATGAAGAAATAAAATGATCTAATTCAAAACATAATACAATTGAAAGATGTTTCATTTCAAAACTTGAAAACGGAGCATCGGGTGCTTGTGTGAATGCGTCGTTCGTGTGCAATTTTTGTTCATGACTTTCCTGGCCGAAGGCCGTAAATGGTTGTGAGGGGCGCCACAGGCACCCCCGACAGCATGCTACAGTGTAAGGACTTCACCACCATCATTATCAGGGACACGAAAGCGACAAAAACTCGTTGTGCTAACCAGAGTGTGTGCATTTCACTGCACTGTAGAATGCCTCCTGCAGGGATCGGCCGGTATAATAATAACAGCCCTTTGTCAATCCACTCCTGCATATAATCTTCCCCAGTCTGCGGCAGTCCCTGGGGGGGTTGTTGGACCATACTTCACCACGCTGGTCAGTGCTCGTTGGTGAAGTGGTCACCTAGGACAGGTTCAGATATCGCTCACCACTGATGTTAGTCATGGGTTCAGAGTACAGTGTGAAAAACCACTGCGCCCACTGCTCGCCCTCGGATTTCCACCTTTTCCACAGACGAAACCCGCATGTATATCTCGGCGAGTCCGAGGTCTGTTATCAGCACTGCACTTTAAACAAGTTCAACACCGCAACACCAGTACCAGATCTCGGTGAAAATCGATTCCTGCTGCCCCGAACACAGAGGTGCCAATTCCTGGACTGTTCACGTCAAACCTGGACAGGTTGGTCATCCTAGATCCCCCCAAGTTAGACACTGAAAATGCGAGTATCAAGTTCAATTTATGTACATACAGAGACGTTCACAGAAAACTAAAGCAAAAACAATTAGTACAATTAACAGAAATAAAGAGGAAGACAAAATGTAGTAGTGATATGGTGGCTTCGTACCCGTATTGACCGGCACAGTCTGAGTTGGTCATCAGATCGCCACCTGTCCGTGTTTTACCAAGACAGTGCGGAATTGGCATTTATGTTCTGGAAGCAGGAAATTATTTTGGTCAACATTTGGTCCCCGTGTTGCTTTGAGCTTCATTACAGTTAACTGTATAGTTTTGATAGACTTGGTGTTGACTGAGAAAATCTGCCAGGGTTTGTTCGCAATGGAAATCCCCAACCGTTGACCGCATGTTGATGTCTGCACGTCCTCAGGCCCAAGTTCTTGATAGGCGAAGGCATTCATAACAATGCCAGCAAGAGGCACCGGGACCGCCTCAACTCGGAGATGGAGGATCTTGCGGCCGCCCTCCCTCTGCCTCCGGCCGCCATTGCCAAGCTGGACAAGCTGTCCGTGCTGCGGCTGAGCGTGGGGTACCTGCGTGCCCGCGCCTTCTTCCAGCGTGAGTTGGCCATTTGTTGTTGGACACATTGTTTTCGGCGACAATTAGAATTTTGTCAAGAACGGGTCACCACCATCATCATCATAATCGTCGTCAGTAGGATTGCCACCGTTTGTACAGACCAGCCTTGGATTTATTTCTTGTCAGCACTGTGCAGCATACTGTAATAAAGTTTAAACACAATACCACCAGATCTCAGTAAAAATTCATTTCTGACACCTGAACAGGAATGCCGCAACCCAAGAGTGCTCGGGTCAAACCCAGTACACTACGAACCCGCCAAACCTGAGTTCTCATCCATGGCTAACTTCAGTGGCGAGTGATGTCTGAACCGGTCACTGGGCGCCCTGATGCCTTTCACCAACGTGCACTGACCAGCGTGGGGAAGCATGCTCACGCCATTTCCATGATAATAGCATGGAGAGGCCCTCACCTAGTAGTCGATTGACAAAAGGGCTACACCTGGGTGCCACGGTGGTGAGATGTTCACTACCTCGCCTGATATGCAGGAGATCGTGGGATTGATCCCTCCGGTTTTCCCCTCCACATTTAAAAACAAGAGTATTTGGCTGCTATCATTGATTTCCACTTTGTTGAGCTATCATTTGTTGCCAGGTCGCTTCTGAAAAAGAGCTATATAGCTCAGAGGGCCTTATCTGGTGAAATAAAAAATTGTTTAGTTTTCTAGTGCATACACAATGTAGGATGGACCTGTGCAACTCCACTAAGCCCTTCTCTGAAACTGAGGACATTCAAGAGCTACACACCTTGACGACACGGCTGAAAAAAGTACGGCCAGCGTTTCCTGTCGTTGTTAGCGAAGAGATCGATCGTCACATTTTCACTAACAATTGCACAAAAAATTACATTTTCCGTCTGGTTCATGCGAAGCGAAGCCCTGATTGCTCGCCCACTCTGTTACGATCGCTCGCATGACAATCTCTCACTGCCATGATCTCTCGCGACCACAATCTATCGCGCCACCATCTCTCGCTGCCACGATCACCCGCTGCCACAATCGCTCGCGTTACGATTGCCTGCTTTATGATCAATCGCTGCCATGATGGCTCGCGCTATGATGCCTCACGGTATGATCGCTCGCGTTATGATCGATCGCGTTACAATCGCTCACGTGTTGTTGATTTGCCCGCGTTGCATAACCACGGTTCGCAACAACAGCAACATACACTCACAATCCGAGGGGGGGGAGCGGTGGCGCAGCGGTTAGTGCACTGAGCCAAGAACCTGGCTATTTGAGATCCATAAGTGGTTATGGCTACATCAGTGGCGTGTGATTAATAGACCGCTGATGGCCTCTACTTCACCAACTCGCCCAAGCCTGCGTGGTGAAGTACGGTCAAACAATCCCCAACGACTGACATGGCATGAGGAGAGGCTTCATCCCACAGTGTAGGGACCAGGCGATGAATATTACTTTTGTGATTAATTGCGATATTATTATTACGCACATACTGGGTCTGCAGACTTTATTTCCTTTTCTTGTTTGTTGTGGTGCTATTCGACAGCACTTAATTCTTATCCAAACCGGCTTGTTATCTGAAGCATTCATTCTGAACCAAACCTGCCATTTATTTATATGTGTATCTGTTGATCTGTCTGTCTGCTGTCTAGTTTTCAGTCTTGCAGTTTCCTGTGCTGTCCTGCCTTGTTTTGTCTGTGCGTTTACGAGTTGGAATGTAAATGAAGTACGCACTCCGAAGTGCCACGGCACTTTGTAGACCCGGCACAGCCTTGATGTGCTAGAGGGCCACGGAGTGGAAGTGCAGAGGTTAGCGTGCTGTGCTACGAACCCGGCGACCCGAGTTCGATTCCCACTCACGGTGATCACACCTGTGACGATTATCTGAACCGGTCCTGGGCCTTCCCTAGATCGACTCAGCCTCAATTGAATATCTAGTACGATGTGTAAAAACATCGCCACTAGAGAGACAAAGGCGGCTGGGCGTGGAGCTGGCCACTCACCCCCTTGTGTGCTTTTCTGGCCTTCATAAGTGCTCGTTAATAGCACTTTCCACAACAGTCTGTTAAGGATATATGGGGGATCTTTGTCTTTGTGCAATATAATCAAACAATTTCACTAAATATTCCTTTGCAAGAAATCGGTTGTGCTTCTTTATCGATTCATTTGCAACAAATACTGACCAGGAGGCAAATCTTCTCTTGGATGGTTAAAGGGTTTTTATTTTTCCAGTTTTTGCAAGTTACTGAAATCTGCAAAGTACGGACATTCTTTGCAAATAAGGTTGCATATCGAGTTTAAGAAACCTTTGGAAAGTAATGCATAAGACAATAATAATTGGCGTCATTGTGGAGACTATACGTAATATGATAACCTCCTTCATTGAATATATCCCCCCACGCACGATAAATAACATTAAGTCTACTCACTGAATGTTAAAACCGGTCCAGAGTTTGCCCGTGTTGAACCAATGCTGCAAAAAATTATGCACTCACAGAAGGCCGTATGGCTGATGAGATAGATACGTGATGGAGGCATATTGTTTATATCTATGGGATTTTTTTGGCAAAAAAATTATAGCTCACTTATAAGTGTTCTGATGCTTGCATTGTCGTTATACTGTTCGCCTGTTGGCGTTCTCTGGTCGAACACTGGTGGTGAGACTAGGCCACAAGGAGGACTGTCTCTGGTGTAGGCCAATCAGTTTCAAAGGCAATGCGTACATTATCGTAGCATGTTTGCTTTCATGTTTTGCCACAAGTATGATTTGTCTATTTGGTGTTTGAATATCATAACACCTGTTTTATTGCCAGAAAGGGTAAAACCTATTCTTATCATATTTCATCAGGCTTATATTGCCTGCTTATTTTACTTTGGAAAGGATCGCTCACTTGAACAATACCCGTCTCGGCTGAGACAGCTGCTCAAGCTCAGCCGCATTTCGTCTCCGATGTACTTCATCAAGGTCGGCAGAATGCCTAGCAGCATTGGTCCGTAGCCTCCGCTCCTTGTTAACCCACGCACCTGACTTGTTCCCGTTGAAGGTATTACCGTCAGAACGTACGTCGTACACATTATAGGTTGCGGGAGTCGCCAGTGTGCAGAGAGCTACAGGTTATTGTTTTCAACATCCTAACGTGTTGGTGGGCGTAGAGACAGACTTCCTGTCTCAAGTTCACGAGTGGACTCTCGATTGCCCGGGGTGATATGGGAGGGGTACCCCAATTTAAATATACACGTGGATATTGCTAAGCAAGTGTAAACTGGCATATAATAAAAGAAAACCCAGAATGAGGTCATTATTCTCTGAAAACACATTAGGTATGGTAAAGTGTTAAACACGAGAGAAAAATCCGAAAACACGTTTCAATGCAGCTTGGCACCCGAAAAATACAAAGTAGCTGTTTACGTTTACTGAGCGAGATGTTTGCTGTGTTTAGTCGCTGACCTTGCAAGAAGTGAATAGCAGCTCATAATATATCCAAAACAAATAAGCCCATAGTGCCCCTCCACATGAAGAAACGTCTCAGTAGCATTGCTTCAACACAAGCAAACTCTGGGCCGTGTTTCGACGTTTGGGCGGCAGGATGGCGCACCTGGGTTTTATTACTGACTACGGCGCCTTTTATGCGGAGTTTGTATGTTCTCCCCCTGGTCTGTGTGGGTGCGCATTACTCTATTGGGATCACACAGCAGCAGCAGCAACATCACCCCTACATCAAAAACCTGGCAGGACCCTCCTATCTGTTGAGACTCGGTGAGGCTTTTTTAGGTAAACGAGCAAAACATGCAGTCTCAGCAGTCAGGCTTACTTGAATCAATGCTGGAGGACTTCTGATGTTAGAGGGCAGGACGCTCTCTGTGACGAGATGTTAACTATCTTGCCTGGTATGCAGGAGGTCGTGTGCTTGATCCTGACACCTGCTGTATATTTGGAGTTTGCATGTTCTCCCCGTTTTCACGTGGGTTTTTCTCCGGATCCTCAGGTTTCCCCCTCGACATTTATAATGAACATGCATTTAGTGTATTTATCTGCTATAAATGGCCACGTGATAAGCCACTTCGTTGAGCTATCATTTGTGACCAGGTCGCTTCTGAAAAAGAGCTACATTGCCCAGTGGGCCTTACCTGGTAAAATTTTAAAAAGTTTACAGTTTGTTTTGGATATGAATCCTAGTTTTCACAAAACTAAAATATATATTCTAGAACATTCATTTTTTACTTTATTTTTTCATAAGCACAGTAAATCTCCAACCCGGGTAATACGCCCACAGATAATCGAGAGGTTACTTTTTTACGTTTAACATTGTCCTGTATGTTTTTGTGGTGGTGGCACGTGCCTGTAATCCAGCACTGTGGAGGCAGGGGTTAGCGGATCACACAAACATTTCATGTATCTCCCATCCCGTGGGTGTCGAGGTCACCGTCTCCTGACTTACCAGGCTATGGCAGTACAGCAAGTGGGTTAATCTCCATCTATTTCTATCTATATGGGAATACCAAAGACAAAGACCCCCCATATAGCCTTAAGAGACTTTTGGGGCATGTACTGTTAGCGAGTACCCTTGAAGCGGAAGTGGTAGCCAGCACTTACGCCAGGCCGCCTTTGTCTCCCCATTGGAGAGGTTTACATACCACACCAGGCACTAATTTTGAGACCGAGTTGACATAGGGGAGGCCCAGGACCAGTTCAGATACTCGTTACTGATGGTGACCGTGAGCAGGAATCGGACCTGGGTCTCCGGGTTTGTAGCACAGTGTGCTAACCAGTGCACTACCGCTGCCCATCGGGAACACCTGGCCTGGGTACACACACACACGCTCATGTTTTCCCGTTGTGTCCCTCCAACAGATGTCTCCAAATGTTGAGTGAACATATTGGAAATGATCTCCCTTAGTTTAACGCGTATGCTTTCGTGACCAAAATTAATCACAATAAAGGTTGTATGGGTTAGATCGCGAAAATATAAATGTGTCGTTAACCCACCACCACTCGACACAGCCAATTAGTAAGGTTTGTCACGAATCAAAACGTGCCAATTAGTTACGACTTTAGCAACCTGGTGTGTTGGAGAGTAAACCCACAACGTTTCTAATTTGAGTACCGTGACATTTCGCTGGTGATTACAACCAGCTTCCTCAGGCTCCCCCTTCTGTTTCCAGTCTCAACTTATTTGGCCTCAGGGCCATTCCAGAACCAACCTCCTCGGGCAGGGCCCTCGCTCTTGATGGGCTACAATCCCATACGGTCGCGCTTCCTTCTTCAAAATCTCACCATCCGATTTATTCCCCCCTTGAACCTCTGGAAAGCAATGCGCCGTTTCGTTTTCCTTTCCGTGTAGCCAATGGCTGTTGATTTATTTTTTGAGATTCCCCTTCCTCCCCCCCACTGCCACCCCACCCCCAGGCATATTTTAAGACATCGATACATTTGAGCCAATACGCATTCAAGCACTGTAAATCTGCAACTCGGTACAAAATTTTTGTCCAGCTGTTTATCGCCGTGGCAGGTGAATAATGTCTTGTCTCTGTAAACTGTGGGAGTGGCGACGCAGGAGGGGTGGGGGCTCGGCTCGGGGTCACTCGTGTGGGCTGCTGGATGGGGAGCTGAGTGGCGAGGAGCTTATGGGGCTGCGCGTTGTGCAAGGGGGTCAGGGTGTCCAGCGGGCGGCAGTGGTGATTGGTTGAGGGCCAGATTTGTTGAAATTCCTGAGTTTTCCCTCACAGCTCCATGCCGAGATATTCTGTGGATGCTGCACTACGTTAGAGCAATGTGCTAGTCTGTCCAGCTGATTTAAACAGGCCATACGCTGCAGGTGGAGGATAGGTTAAGGTCAATGAATGCTCCTCCTTCCGATGTTAGGAAGCCATTGGAGCTATGCACTTTTAAATCTAGATAGAAAACGCATTTATTCAAAACAGTGTTTTGTGTTTAGTTTGTTGTCCTTCCCCACACCTCCTATTACGGTGTTAAAGAAGTTGAACATACGTATGTACGTACATACGTAATTCATATGGAAAGAGTAAACCGCCATTAGAGTTTACTGCGTGTGATCCGTTGGGCTGTCAAGAGGCTGTTAGGCAATGCTCTCTGCCGCCCATAAACAACAGAGCCTGCTCTGGCTCCTCTTTCAACCTTAGAGGTGAAAAGTCCAGCTCCCTTTCTTCCAGGTCCTTCATTCAGTCCATTCACACCATTTTCCGATAAAATAAACACGGTCGTGGAAATCCCTCTGTAACTCCTCAGTTACCTAATCCACCTGCTAACTGACAGAATGCTGTGTGACTGCGAACAAAGCGTGTCCCCCCCCCCATTGTCGAGCATCCATTGTTACGTTTTGTTAAAAAATAAGGGCCAAAGTGTCTCACGCACAAACGAGCGTTGGGTGGTAACAAAATAACTAAGCAGCCACCACACCTACCCGTCCTCCTCATATCTGTCCCTTCGGCAAAAAAAATACAGGTGTTTTTTTTTCAAAATCCCATCAGCCACATAGCCTTCTGTGAGTTCATATATATAACATAGCGAAATATTCAGCTAGATTAGTAGGAGTTTAACACAAAACCAAACTCTGGAGCAGTGTCTCAGGAGTATCGGGCTGCTTTCTTAAATGCTGGTGCACCGCGAGCCAGATGTTTGCAGGCAAGGGTCCTCCCTGTTGAGACACGGGTCTGGTTGGACGCAAATGTACGTAATTTACACAACACAAAATAAACCATGAGCAGCATCGCGGAGAATATACGGACCGAAACGTGAATCACAGGGTAGTGCTCTATTTATTGTTGTTGCACTTCTTTCACGCCGTACGTAGCCAACCACGCTCATCTGTGGGCAGCCTCGAGCCAGGTTGTAAGTGCTGCGAGCCTTTTCTGAGAACATTCCCGTCCTCACAGAGCTGGACACCATGGGGAGGAGCTCGCCACCCCCGCCAGACCAGACCCTCACCAATGCCATCGACAGCGGCAGCGGCAGCAGCAGCACGAGCAGCAGCAGCAGCAGCAGCACGAGCAGCAGCAGCAGCAGCTCCCCCTCAGCCCAGCAGCTGGAGTTCGTTCCCTTCCCTCCTCGAGAGCAACTCTTACCCGAGGAGCAGCTCCCTTCTGACGAGTGTCACCTCTGGCACCACAAGGAGCCATGGAATAGCCCTCTGGCCGTCGTGGTGCCGGCCGATTGCCCGGCTGCGTCGTCCCCACCTCTGTTCGCCCCACGTCGGCCCAGCCCCACGTCCTCGTCTCCCGCGGACGAGGCAGACGCGGCGCCGGGTTCGGTCGCGGAAGCCGGCCTCGCCACCGTTGAAGAAGAAGAAGCATCGCCAGCATCGCCACCGCCGCCGTCCCCGCTCGCACGCCACAGGGAGGAGGAGGAGGAGCAGGAGGAAGAGGGCCGAGCGGTGGTGCCGTGCGAGGGGGGCGGCCGCCTGGTGCTGCCGCCATTCCCCGGTCTCATCGACCCCGAGATGCTGCTCGAGGTAGGAGTGCGGGGGAAAAGGGAGCAAGCAGCTTTTTCCCGTCGTCTGGCACCGGCCGCTCAGAGCCGTGGCGTTGCTTATGCTCAGACAAGCAAGGGGGTATCGTGGCGCCTGTCATCCCTGGCTGGCTCGGAGCCAGTAGTGGACATTCCCCATTGCTATGGCGGGAGAGCCAGACTATGGATAGAACAAGCACAATGGCCTCCTACAAAGTGGTGGTCATTTAGGGTGGCAGACGTGGTGACACTCGTGCCACGCAGCAAGAAGGACCTGGGTTCCATTCCCAATTTGGGTGCCTTTCTGTGTGGAGATTCTGCGGTCGTCCCCTGTCCTGCAAGGGCATCAACCGGATTCTCCGGTTTTCTCCCACGACTAAAACTTAACGTAGAACATAACTGATATTGGCCACATAATCCCAATGCCAATGATTACCTGCAAAGTTACTCGATTGTGTGTATGTTGGTATTCTTTCGCACCTTACGTAACCAAGCGTGCTTATCGGAGGTGCGGGATTACACAAAGCAGCATCATTACCACCCCCAATTGTGAAAGACTTGGCACCACCCTCCTAATGAGGCTTCCCTGGGTAAATTAGCATAGCGGTCGTGTATCGATTCCTGGAAGGATGACGGGATGAGTCGATGCAATGTGGGATTAGAACTCCCGACGTCGTGATTGCGAGTTGAGTGCTGTGAGCACAGTAGCACTTGTCTACGGCCATACCTTACCCATTGCTGCTTTCTCGAACGCGTGTTATGGCTATACAGTACCATGATTTGCTTTTCGAGTTACGTTTTCCGGAACATGAGGGCAATGTTTTTCAGCTGTACGCGGTTTGCTAAGGCCATAAAGAATGGTATATTATCAGACCATGTTTGTTTGCATGTTCACCACAAGTACGTGTGGTTAATGCAGACTTGATGCCTTGAAAAAGGTACCTTTTTGGTGTTGGAACATCTTAACACCTCCTGTTGTATTGCCAGAAAGGGTAAAACCTATTATTATAATTTTTTCATAATTTTGGATACCGGCAAAAACGTATCCCACAGATGTAAGATTCTCATCTCTCCACGTTTAAAAGTAGTGTGCGGTGCGCTTGTGCGGTACAGTAAGTAGGTGGTGCGGACTAACATATTGCCACAATATCCCCTCCCCACTACCACCCCCACCCTTGCGGTTTCCCTCTTGTACGTTGTAAGGCCCCTTCTTTACACAACATCCCCACGAATATAATCTGCACCTTCATCGTCATCATCATTCATCATAAGTAAACATTTTCAGTTTAACTTTTTGTTATTATTTCAGTTTTTGTCTTCTTTCGCCCCGTACGTAGCCAGCCGTGATAATCATTTACCATGTATGTTTTTTTTGTATGTGATAAGGGGAGAAATGTTTTAAATTATAACTTAAACAAAGACGGAGGGGCCGATCATTTTGGACCTAGGAACGTATCACTGTCCAGTGTCATGATTCACCACAATGAGCAAACATTGGTTAAAATTACATATTTATTTTACATATCAAAATATGTCACCTGGAAAACCCCTCGAGATGGGACATCTCGTTTGGAAGGGGTTGTCTGGGGCAGGGGTCCCCAACCCCCGGGCCGCCAACCGGTACCGGTCCGTGGCCTGTTAGGAACCGGGCCACTTCCGTCCGCGCCTCTTTCCCACACCGCGCACTTGTCTCAGTCACAGTGTTGGTAAGCCCACAAGCTCTAGCCCCTAGTAGCCACAATGAGTATAAGACAAACACAAGCTCTAGCCCCTAGTAGCCACAATGAGTATAAGACAAACACAAGCTCTAGCCCCTAGTAGCCACAATGAGTATAAGACAAACACAAGCTCTAGCCCCTAGTAGCCACAATGAGTATAAGACAAACACAAGCTCTAGCCCCTAGTAGCCACAATGAGTATAAGACAAACACAAGCTCTAGCCCCTAGTAGCCACAATGAGTATAAGACAAACACGAGCTCTAGCCCCTAGTAGCCACAATGAGTATAAGACAAACACAAGCTCTAACCCCTAGTAGCCACAATGAGTATAAGACAAACACAAGCTCTAGCCCCTAGTAGCCACAATGAGTATAAGACAAACACAAGCTCTAGCCCCTAGTAGCTACAATGAGTATAAGACAAACACAAGCTCTAGCCCCTAGTAGCCACAATGAGTATAAGACAAACACAAGCTCTAACCCCTAGTAGCCACAATGAGTATAAGACAAACACAAGCTCTAGCCCCTAGTAGCTACAATGAGTATAAGACAAACACAAGCTCTAGCCCCTAGTAGCTACAATGAGTATAAGACAAACACAAGCTCTAACCCCTAGTAGCCACAATGAGTATAAGACAAACACAAGCTCTAGCCCCTAGTAGCCACAATGAGTATAAGACAAACACGAGCTCTAGCCCCTAGTAGCCACAATGAGTATAAGACAAACACAAGCTCTAACCCCTAGTAGCCACAATGAGTATAAGACAAACACAAGCTCTAGCCCCTAGTAGCCACAATGAGTATAAGACAAACACAAGCTCTAGCCCCTAGTAGCTACAATGAGTATAAGACAAACACAAGCTCTAGCCCCTAGTAGCCACAATGAGTATAAGACAAACACAAGCTCTAGCCCCTAGTAGCCACAATGAGTATAAGACAAACACAAGCTCTAGCCCCTAGTAGCCACAATGAGTATAAGACAAACACAAAGCTCTAGCCCCTAGTAGCCACAATGAGTATAAGACAAACACAAGCTCTAGCCCCTAGTAGCCACAATGAGTATAAGACAAACACAAGCTCTAGCCCCTAGTAGCCACAATGAGTATAAGACAAACACAAGCTCTAGCCCCTAGTAGCCACAATGAGTATAAGACAAACACAAGCTCTAACCCCTAGTAGCCACAATGAGTATAAGACAAACACAAGCTCTAGCCCCTAGTAGCCACAATGAGTATAAGACAAACACAAGCTCTAGCCCCTAGTAGCCACAATGAGTATAAGACAAACACAAGCTCTAACCCCTAGTAGCCACAATGAGTATAAGACAAACACAAGCTCTAGCCCCTAGTAGCCACAATGAGTATAAGACAAACACAAGCTCTAGCCCCTAGTAGCCACAATGAGTATAAGACAAACACAAGCTCTAACCCCTAGTAGCCACAATGAGTATAAGACAAACACAAGCTCTAACCCCTAGTAGCCACAATGAGTATAAGACAAACACAAGCTCTAGCCCCTAGTAGCCACAATGAGTATAAGACAAACACAAGCTCTAACCCCTAGTAGCCACAATGAGTATAAGACAAACACAAGCTCTAACCCCTAGTAGCCACAATGAGTATAAGACAAACACAAGCTCTAGCCCCTAGTAGCCACAATGAGTATAAGACAAACACAAGCTCTAACCCCTAGTAGCCACAATGAGTATAAGACAAACACAAGCTCTAACCCCTAGTAGCCACAATGAGTATAAGACAAACACAAGCTCTAACCCCTAGTAGCCACAATGAGTATAAGACAAACACAAGCTCTAGCCCCTAGTAGCCACAATGAGTATAAGACAAACACAAGCTCTAGCCCCTAGTAGCTACAATGAGTATAAGACAAACACAAGCTCTAACCCCTAGTAGCCACAATGAGTATAAGACAAACACAAGCTCTAGCCCCTAGTAGCCACAATGAGTATAAGACAAAGACAAGCTCTAACCCCTAGTAGCCACAATGAGTATAAGACAAACACAAGCTCTAGCCCCTAGTAGCCACAATGAGTATAAGACAAACACAAGCTCTAACCCCTAGTAGCCACAATGAGTATAAGACAAACACAAGCTCTAGCCCCTAGTAGCTACAATGAGTATAAGACAAACACAAGCTCTAACCCCTAGTAGCCACAATGAGTATAAGACAAACACAAGCTCTAGCCCCTAGTAGCCACAATGAGTATAAGACAAACACAAGCTCTAGCCCCTAGTAGCCACAATGAGTATAAGACAAACACAAGCTCTAGCCCCTAGTAGCCACAATGAGTATAAGACAAACACAAGCTCTAGCCCCTAGTAGCCACAATGAGTATAAGACAAACACAAGCTCTAGCCCCTAGTAGCCACAATGAGTATAAGACAAACACAAGCTCTAGCCCCTAGTAGCCACAATGAGTATAAGACAAACACAAGCTCTAGCCCCTAGTAGCCACAATGAGTATAAGACAAACACAAGCTCTAGCCCCTAGTAGCCACAATGAGTATAAGACAAACACAAGCTCTAGCCCCTAGTAGCCACAATGAGTATAAGACAAACACAAGCTCTAGCCCCTAGTAGCCACAATGAGTATAAGACAAACACAAGCTCTAGCCCCTAGTAGCCACAATGAGTATAAGACAAACACAAGCTCTAACCCCTAGTAGCCACAATGAGTATAAGACAAACACAAGCTCTAGCCCCTAGTAGCCACAATGAGTATAAGACAAACACAAGCTCTAGCCCCTAGTAGCCACAATGAGTATAAGACAAACACAAGCTCTAGCCCCTAGTAGCCACAATGAGTATAAGACAAACACAAGCTCTAACCCCTAGTAGCCACAATGAGTATAAGACAAACACAAGCTCTAGCCCCTAGTAGCCACAATGAGTATAAGACAAACACAAGCTCTAGCCCCTAGTAGCCACAATGAGTATAAGACAAACACAAGCTCTAGCCCCTAGTAGCCACAATGAGTATAAGACAAACACAAGCTCTAGCCCCTAGTAGCCACAATGAGTATAAGACAAACACAAGCTCTAGCCCCTAGTAGCCACAATGAGTATAAGACAAACACAAGCTCTAGCCCCTAGTAGCCACAATGAGTATAAGACAAACACAAGCTCTAGCCCCTAGTAGCCACAATGAGTATAAGACAAACACAAGCTCTAGCCCCTAGTAGCCACAATGAGTATAAGACAAACACAAGCTCTAGCCCCTAGTAGCCACAATGAGTATAAGACAAACACAAGCTCTAACCCCTAGTAG